CGCTATTGATCAACTATAGATCTGCTATAGGTGCTGTTAAAGATGGGCTCTCTGTGTTTACACCTTGAATCTTTCTCTCTCTGGTTATTTTCCCTGAAAAGAGATCAATCAGGACAAACTCTTTAAGTAACACTTAATAACTTATATGTATTAAATAACCAGGAGACATGACAACAGATTCTGATAGAAAATGTAATCTTTCTCAGATCAGAGAAGTTGCTCAGAGTTTCAGAAGGCAGCTGCTCATCTCTCAGGAAGTGATTAACAGTTAAAAATGCATTTTATACATCTCTAGTCTGCCACATCATCACATCATTACATCATATAAGTTAGAAGATGATTGGACATCCATGGCTCCAGCATTATCAAATTATTACACTTTGTTCTTAGCTGAAGGACGCCGCTCTCATTCTATTCCCAAATCTTTGCCACGTACAGAATGAAGATTATAACTGTATATAGCCAGACTGAGGATTAACTATTGTGGAAAACATCAGTTCTGCCTCGAAACAGGCAGCTAATATTAAGGTGTAAGAAACTCACACATCATCAGTGATAATTATCCTAACAGTGCACTATAGATGCACTATAGATTTGCTATAGAACCGCTATAGATTACTATAGTTCGACAATAGATCTCCTATAGATCTACAGCTGAGCTTTTAAAGCCCTTAATGGATATGCTGACAGAAAACCTCCTTGGTGGATGAAAGTTTTTTTTTTTTTTTTTTTTGGAGGTTAAGTTCAGTAGAAGATAAACTCGTATTTAATGAGAGAACAGAGGATTTAATCACCATTCAGTCCCAGTTCGAAACTGTTTTATTTTCCCTTTGAGGCCCACCCCTGTTTGGTATGTTCATCAGTGCACCATTACTGTTTATTGCCAGTACTTCCTTTACTGAGTCATCTTCCCATAATTCATCCTAGGCTGACCTCATAATCATGTGACCAGTTTGTTTTCCTCTTCTTGAAGCTTAAAACTGTCTTTATGAAACCACTAATAAAACCTGCTTGTTTTTAATAGGAGCCAGCGATTGACGGCCCTCGGTAGCTCAGGATGGACAGCTTCTTCAAGGCAGCGGTTTGTGATCTGGACAAGGTTCTGGATGACTTTGAGCTCAATTCAGGTAAGACCGCCCTTTCCCCAGGAAGCAGCTGAGACCAAACAAACGTCTCATTTTAAACTGCTGCCATTCGGATGTAAAGAGGGCATTAATCCGGATCGTTATAAAAGTCCAGCTCACCTACATGGTCGTGAAAGCAGTCCCACAGTCTGTCTAGTTTACCCCGCCCTTAAAAATGAGTTTAATCTTTTCCAAGTTAACAAAATAAAGAACTTGTCTGATCCAGTGTATATGTGATGGTGGTGATGGAGACTTCCACTTCAACAAAACATGTTTACAGGTGGTTTTAGATAAAGAATGAAAGATCTCTTCCCAGTTAGAACTCAAGACAGGACATGATTAGAGCATATGCGCCTGAGCTTCAGGTGCTAGACCACAGCGACCGCAGACAGGGTCCACATCCCTAAACATTTCTGAGAGCCTGACATTTGTCAGGTGAGCATGATGCACCTCTTTGCTCTGAATGAATGATCCCTGTACTTTCAAAAGCATCCTCTTCCACATGTCCTCTGTGATTTATTCAGCCATCTGGTCTTCCCAGAGCTTCTTTAGAGACTTCAGGGAAGTTAGCCTTAAAGAATAAATCAGGGCATAAATAAATGAGATCATCAGTGGCGGCTGGTGGAGTTTTCTGAGGGGAGGCTGTAAATTCAAAATATATTTATACTAAAAACCAATCAAATGAATTCTGAGTTATCACAACAGTATATTTATATGAATGCCAAGAACAAAAAACATAATAAAAACAAACTGTCCAAATCTGTTTTGACCCACAACTAAACTCTTAACTAAACTCTTAAATCTGTGATTAAACGAAAGCCTTTTAATCATCTTTAGAAATAATTAAAGGAAATTAATGAGACCTTTCATAGGTTTTTTTATTCATCTTTTGCTTGTTTTAGATTTAATTTTGTTATTTAGTTTCAGTTGTATTTGATAAGAAAGACTGTAATTGGCAGCATTGAATTATTCTTTTAAATAACCGCTCGGCTCTGGTTCTTTTTGCAGAGGAAGCGGAATGCCAGCCTGTTTTCCTGAAGCCCCCTGCGTACCCGTTCTGCCCGGACGTCCCCAGCGGCCCAACCAGCCTCCCAGACCTCAATTCTCTCCATTATGGCTCCGCAGGAAGCTGTTCAGATGCCTCCAATGGCCAGCAGACCGCTGACGGTGGCGAGGTGAGAGGTCAGCCCCTGACTGCCGTGGACCTTCTGTCCTCCGTTGACCGCAGGCCTGCTAAAAACGCGGCCCCGCCCTGCCCGGACAGAACTCTGAAGCCGGTGTGCGACCTCGTAAACGATGCCAGCTCGGCCATCTTGGTTCGGACCAACAGCCAGGAGGAGGAGGCGCTGCTGGTGGACTTTGACAGCCCTGCGGTCACAGAGGTGGGGGTGGGGCTTAACATAAACAGTGTTGAGGAGGAGCAAACTGAGCTGAGCTGCCACCAACAGAGCGGCGGTTACTCCGCATCGCTCAGTTTGCTGGACATTATTTTTCCGGCGGCGGCGGAGAAAAGCTCTGAACCTTCCGATCAGTCGGAGTCAGCTGATGCAGACGAGAAGGAGAGCGAAGAGCAGCTGGAGGGGGCGTCCTCGGACCGCCATAAAGCAGAGAGCGATAACGAAGTGACGTCTTTAAGCGAGGAGCAACCTTCAGATCAGGCGGCTGAAGGCGAGTCTGACGAAGGGATAGAGTGTGAATCATCAAACGGCGAACCGGGCAGCTTGTCATGCCTGCCGCTGGCCGTGTCGATGTGCGGCGCTCTGGTGAACTCCACCACCTCAGAGGATCCTCCCGGGGCAGCAGAGGCGTCTGAGAGCACAGGAGGAACGGACGACGGCAGAGACGGCTCCTCTGACTCGGAGCAGATGTCAGAGAGGAGGCCGTCTCCAGAGGGGCAGCACGCTTCGCTTGGTTCTGCTCCGGCAGAGCCCGACCCGCCCTACGCTCCTGAGTTCGGCTTTGAATACCTGCCTGAGAGCGATCAGGCGGAGCTGCTGGTTACAGACGAAGAGCTGGACGCTTTCCTGCAGGCGCACGCGGAAGCAGAGCAGGGGGCGGGGCCTTCTCTCTGCTCCAGAGGTTCTGGAGATGAACCCCAGTGCCTCTCGGAGTCAGGGCAGGTTCTGGAAGAACGACGAGATGAGCCAGAACCTGGAAGCTGTGGCCAAGAACAGGAAGAGCCAGAGGCTCTGTCATCTGGGGATGGAACATCTGCTGCATCTGCAGAGGGAAGCTTCAGTCCTTCTGCTCTTTCAGCGTCAGGAGAGTCTATACCGTCACAATGCCATGACTCCTATGGAGGCGCCAGACCAAAACAGCCCCACAGCCAAACCGCCAGACCTCCACCAGCAGGAGAGGAAGGAACGGAGCCCAGCACCTCCCCAACACCTGAAGAACAGGAGCACCCAGCTCCCACAGAGGACCCGTCTAAATTCAGGGACTCTGACCTCAGCAGCCCTCCGTATCAGCAGGATTTCTCCGCAGGGTTTGACGAACTCTCAGAGCCGCCTCCATACCCCGGGGAGGAGCCGCTGGGCGCTGCCAGGCCGGCCAACTGGAAGGGGGACGGTGAGGAGGAGCTGGGGAGCATTCAGCCAGCGTGGGTGCCAGACGCTGAAGCTCCGTCCTGCATGAAATGCCACCAGACGTTCACCTTCATCAAGCGGCGGCATCACTGTCGGGCCTGCGGGAAGGTACGTCAGTCCAGAGTCGTTGTTCGCTCTCTTTCTTGTTGTGTTAATGGCTGGTTATCCTCCCGCAGCAGTCTGTCGCAGTTAGCTTGTCGCAGGTATATCGCAGATATTTTTTTATTTATGCCCAATTTTAATTATTTTATTATTAGGGGTGTAAATCACATCCATCATGGCGATTCGATTCAGTATTGATTTCCTGACCCAACAATTCGATTATTTTCGATACTCAAGAATACACCACCATACGATTTGATTTGATTAATCGGTTAATTTATTTATTTATTTATTTTTTATACACCTGACAGGCTAAACAAAGTTTCAAGTTTGATATAAATCAATGAAAGCTGTAATATCGTTCTGCTTTTTTTTATTTTTTATTTTTTAAGAAACAACAGCAAATAACAGAAGTGGAAAAGTTGCATCAAAAAATACATTGAGTGCAATTCAATACCTCGGCTCCAACTTTTAGTTGATCTTTACAAAAATAAACGGCTGTGATAATAATTTAAAAAATATTTTTAAAGGGCTGCACCTTTCATTTATTTTTGTAATCTGTTAACCTAAAACTTTTTTTTTGTTGTTGTTCATTTTGTTTTTTTCTTTTTTAACACATTTTTCATGTCAGAAATAGTTTCTTTGGTTTGCTTTAGTTGTCAGCTGTCTGTTTATTCTTAAGTGGAAAAAGTCAAATAATAACCTCTGTATTGTACTTCCAAGTGACATTTTGATGAATAAAACAAACTTTGAAATAAAATAAGTAATCTAAAAAGATAGTTAGCAAAAAAATAACATTTCTAGATAAATGTGTAGAATACAGAAAAAAAACCCCGTCATTGAGTATCTTAAATTAATTGCAAATGGCAAAATGATCCATGTAATTATGTATATTATTAAGAAGCTGTACAATACTATATTTTAAGTATTTTAAAATAAAAAAAAAATAGTTTGTATTTTATGTTTTAAAAACTTCTATAACTTTAGTTTTAGAGCCTTGTCTTATTCACCGCTGTGATTAGGTTTCGATTGCTGTATTAGTTATTGTTTATTTAAGACTAATCTGATCGATTGTTTTGGACCTATATCTTTAAACTTAGTTAAATTTCTGCATGGATCTGAAAAACCCATGCTGGCTGATCAAGGAACCTACCATGAAAGAATAAAGGGATTAAACAATTAGTCAAGATTAATCAATTATCGAAATAATCAACTAATTTAGCAATTGATTAATTGTTAACTGGAATAAAATGTGTAAACATTTTGCATTTAAGATGAAAATCTTTTTCATCTGTCAATCTGCTCTATCAAGAACTCCTCAAGTGGACAAGCTTTATATTTTTTTTTGTTTAATTTCGTAAAAAGTCTTCTTTAAGGAACCTTTTGCTATCTGTTTATTAATGGATTAATAGATAATCTAGAGATTAATCAATTAGCAAAATATATCCTTAGTTGCAGCCCTAGTAGGCATTAAAATAAAAAACAGCCATATGCTGAAAGATTGCAGTAACTAAATCATAACTGCACAAACATGTACAGTTTAAATTAAATATTAAAAAACATTAAGTGTACATAATATAGAATATTCTCAAGATTTAAGCCATATCTTACTAAACCAAAAAGGTTTTTCAGCTTTAGACGGCTACACTCACACCCAATATCATTTTAAAGTTCAATCTGTATCAACAAAAGAGAAATTTATCATATTTGACTAACTTAATTAACACTTCTTCTCCTCCTTTCACTCATTGCTGCTTTAAAGCTGCAGAAAGTCATATAACAGGGTGGTGCTGCTCACCAGAGGCTCTACTGCCCTCTGCAGTCCACTTGGTGAACTGCAGCTGATTTAAACTAAAAGTTGGTTTTAATTTTTATGGATGAGATCTAATCACTATTGTAGAGGTTACGGTGTACCTTTTCAATGAAAAAAAGAAAACACAATTAGGAGAATGGGATGCTTAGTAAAAATAAAAAGAAGAAATAAAGCTCTGCAGCAGATATCCTGATCAAAATCTTAATACCAGTTAAAAAGTTGCATGAATTTGCGTTTTTCCTTCTTGGATCATGAAAAGGTTCTAAGTGGAGCTTCAAAAATTAAAGACAAAGAAGATGAAAAAGTTAACGGCAGCAATTAAACTCAAATAGGCTGTTGAGAATTTTCAGACCACAGCTTTTAAAAGGCTAAATTTGAGCAGAAATTAGATTCCATGTCTTCTCCTGTCCAGTGATCACACTGTGAAGATCTGTTCACAGCAAAATAAAAAAAAAAAACTTTGGACGTAGAAGGACTGTCAAGTTGAAAACAGCATTACTGCTGAGGCCGGATGTATCGAGACGGGCATTTTAGATTTCTTAAAAGAAAAGTCCCATCAGCAAGGAATAATCAATGGATCATTATTTATAACAAAAACTAATATGTTTGCGGTGATTTAATGAATTTAGCAATAATCTCTAAAAAAAAATAAAAACAATAAAAAGTCTGGGAGCAGCCATCTTTGCCCAAATATAGTAACACCTCACTCCGGACATCTTCCAGCAGTGACGTCATTAATAAGCCAAGCTCCATTCTCCCTGCTTTGCAAACAAAATCAATGGGAGCTACTAGAGCAGGGCTGGGCAACCAAAACTGCTCAAAGAGCCATATTGGACCAAAAAATATATATATATATAAGCTAGGGTTGTAACGATACTAAACTTTTCAACTCGATTCCGATACTAGGTAAAATATTCTATATTCAATGTCATTTTCGATACCACACAGATAAAAACAAAGACTCCAAAATTCAACAGAAATATTTTCATTAATAAACAAAATACTATAAATAGATAAATAAATACAATAAACAATATTTTGAGGTTGAATGCTGTGCACAATATTAAGCAAGTTTGATAAAAAAACGTGCAAAATTAAAATTAAGTGTTCCTTCCTTAGCTATGCTTTGCACACATAACGATGACGCTAGCCAAACTGGTTAAGAAACAAAAATAATTCTCAGCAGCTGCACCTGCTACAAAAAAAGTCTGAACCCAAAAAGTACACAGAATTATTCAGAAAGTGTTCAGAAAGTGCATTTTCCTCTAATCTGCTCTTAAGATGAATGACTGTTTAGGTGCCAGTGATGGTAGCACTGTATCGATACTTTTGAAAATGAGTATTGTATCCGGATACAACTTTTCAGTATCGATACTTTTGACAACCCTAATATAAGCCTCATATGGCAACACAGGCTCTAAGTGTATTATCCCACTATAGAAAAGGACAACATGGGCTTAAGTATGTAATAATCATTCATGGTTAAATGTTTATCCTGGAGCAAATGTCACACAGCAGCATGAGGTGAGGGAGGAGCAGTGAACGTCTCCCCGCATGGCTGCATTGATGAAATGATAGAAACAGGATAAAGGAATCTTTCTATGGTGGACGTGTTTCTGTTGGGAGGAGCTGATTGAGTCATGAGGAACCAAGCAGGAACTGAGATCCATCAGAGCAGAGCTCTCTAACCCTGAACTCCCACATCCTCCGTCACCAGCGTTCCTTGTTGATATTTTTATTTTAACGATTTGGGGGAGGGGGAGTGGGGAAAAAATTCCCTTCCTTGCTTCGGGGGGTTCTTTTTTTGTTTTTTGGCCGTTTTTTTTTGTTTGCACTTAACTTGGCGGCGTTGTTGGGTTTTGGGGTTTCATTCCTTTTTTTTATTTTTTTTTTGTTTTCTTTTATTTTTTCCGGAGTTTTTGCATTGGCCTTTTTTTTCCTTCCCAATTTTTTGTTCGGTTGCTTTTTCGGCTTTCCTTGAAATGCCTTTCCAAATTACTATTTTTATTTTTTGACAACCTCTCATTACAAAGCACAAATGCAAGCAAACCTTCCGCATTGATAATGAAAGCAAAGGATTTGCTCCATTCTGCTTTGAATCCCCTGTTCTCATCAGATATCTTCCTTTTTTTCCCTTTGGGATCCATGTCTGAGACACACGCCAATTTGTTTGCCTGGCACCGGGCCGCACTGAGGCATGTGTTGCTTTGACCACTGATCTCTATGGCTATAAAGTACTTTGAAATAAATGTTTACATATATTGTTTAAATGTATTTATTATACAAATGTTTACAGCATTGGAAAATATAATGAGGGTCTGTTTGACCTTCTGCACACCATATCAAAAAAAATGTTTTCATAAATTTTTGGAAAAAGCTCCGCAAGGGGGGCGCTAAAGAGCGGCGGGTTGCCGACCCCTGTACTAGACTCATCTGCAATCAGCAACATTTATTGAAGATTTCACCATTGAAATTCACCAGAGCTATAGTAAAACTGACAATGCCCACGTGCATGGCAGCTGGATGTTGGAATGCATCGGGTAAAAGTAAAAAAAAAAACTTTTTAGTTCACATTTCCGATTCCTGATCCTCCACGGACGGGTTAATCGTTGGATTGCCAACTTGAAGAGGGAGGATTTGCCATCGAACTTCTGGCCAGAGAAAAAAACCCGTAATATGTAGCCAACATTTGGAAGAAGAAAGTTTTCAAGATGACTTGGATAATAGCGCGTTGTGACAAACACCAGATACAGCACTGGGACTTGATTAACAGCCGATACCGCAGTGGCAGTAGTGTTCTTTGACAACTATTCAGTAAACTCCAGTAAAGCACATTCAAATGAAAATTAATCTTAATTAAAAACACTTATTTATTTCCTATTTAAAGTACTTTCAGAACTTTAAATTCTGAATATGACTGAACTTTTCCTTTAAAAGACCAAAAGAAATCTTAAAATTACCTTTCAGTTGGATTACACACATTTACTCAGATTCAAAACAATTGAAAATTAAGTCAAACTGGATTAGACATAAAACCTACGTGCAGTTGTTTATTTTTTGATTAGATATTAATATGATAAACACAGTTCAACACATTAATATATTATATAAATATATATGTATACACTATATTTTATTATTCAGTATTTTTAATGATTGTACAGTGATTGAGTATTATGATCTACAGACTAGACTTTTTTTGTACTGAAAATTTATAAAAGATTAAAGTTATTGAGTATTTTTATTGTTTTTAATAATATTTTTTATTTTCTTTTGTTATTGTCAAGAATTTTTTGAAATCGTAGCGAATGGTAAATGTATGTTGTGTCTGACTAAAGGATTTCGGACTTTATAAGTTTGCGTTTCTTTCAAAACTTGGAAGACGCGCCAGCAGCACTTTATAGGTCTGCTGTATGGGAGCGCTTTGCATTTAGAGTGACCTACGATGACGGCGGAAAGAAAGTTGTGGATAAAAGTGCAACCGTGTGCAAGCATTGTGCAACACCTTTTGTTTATGCTAACAGCAACATGACCAACATGTCATGCTAACCCCGAAATCCCTCATACTCCGTCAGCGCTTCGCCCCGCTGCGCTCCAGACCACCTGCACAAAGCAAAGCCTACAGCCTCCGCTGTGGCTCCTGTCCGCTCTGAATTCCTTGGAGATCTTAGAGGACATGCGCAAGATGATTAAATTCAAAGCAGCAAAACATGCGGAAATGATCCATGGTTTCCGCGAATCATTAAAAATAATTACAATTCATTCATTTTGGGGGATTTTTTTCATTAATTTCATTAATTTTTATGGGATTTTGGGGTAACAATCAACATATACCGACCCGAACCGAACACTGTGACCACGAAACCGTGAACCAACCCAAACCGTGGATTTTGTGAATATATATATATATATATATATATATATATATATATATATATATATATATACATACACACACACACGGAGAAGGTAGCTCCTCTATTGTATCGAAGCAGATTTACGTTCAATGGGATTGTATTGAGCAGCTTAAAATTCCACGAAATTCTTTCTGAGCAGACGTTATCAATTAATCCCATGGATCAAATTTGATCTAATCTAATAAACAATTGAAAAATCATTTTGATTTGTTTACATTTAAACCTTAAGCAGATACCATAGTTTCATAAATTAACAATCATGTTCACTGTTATCTAGTGATTTGTCTTTTTTTAGTTATATTTCTGTTAAAATAAGAACTAATATGCTGATTTAGAGCATGTGAGGGAATCTTTCTTTTTTTTTTTCTAACGTCTGTGCCCCAGAAATGGTTAAAACAGGATATTACGTCTCAGAGCTAAAAATAGCCCTATGGCAAAGAGCATGAGTCAGCGGTTCTTTTTCCAGCTCCCCTTTAGATCTCCACTGAGCCGTGCATCCAGAGCTGCAGCTAAGGAGCAGCGTTTAAAGCGGAATCAGGATCCACGGCTCGGGATGTCATTGTTTACAGCCCAGACGACATGATTTGCCGCTGCCACGCCTGCCGCCGCTGCTGCTGCTGCTGTTGCTGCTGCTGCGTGGGGCCAAGCGAACATGTTAGGATTGTCTCAGAGGAGCGCTCATCATTTCTGTGTCTGCTGGAGCTGAATCATTGTTTCCTTCATCATTGTTCTCTCTCTGTGGCAGGTGTACTGCGCCGGGTGCTGCAACAGAAAGTGTAAACTCAAGTACCTGGACAAGGAGGCTCGTGTGTGCGTCCTCTGCTTTGACACCATACATAAAGGTGAGAGGCGGGATTTTGGTCTCTGCTTTATTGCTCCGGATCTTTAGACCATAGATGGTGAGCTGTTCCTCACTGAGATTAGCCTTTAGCTCACAGGATGACAGGCCTTCTTCACCACGCGGCACAAAAAAGGGTCATTTTAATCACTGGTAAATTTAGGAGGATAATTAGCTGTAAGCATTTAAATATAATTATAATAAAATGATTTTTTTAAAGTCGCAGGGAAATCATATTTAAATTTCATATCATTCTGGCTTAAACATGTATATAAATGTGCTCTTTATCAGAAGATATTTTCCCAAACGTTAGAAAATTTCTTTTAAAAACAAATCCTGTCTTAAAATCTGTGTTTTTTCGGTCATAGTATCTTGATTCATATGTCGCAGCTAATATTTGCAATGGCTGAAATCAGAATCATTTCCTTTCCCATTGAGTTCCCAGTGTTCACGGGGATGGACGTCTGTGTCTTCAGCAGGCGTAGAGCTAACAGAACTGGCAGCGTTACGAGGCAAGGGCTCAAACATGTACGGCTGGAAGCCTTCTACACCAAACCAAGCTTCTGCCGCCCTGGCGTCCTCTTCCTCAACATCTTCATCCCCGCTTTCCTCCTCTAAATAAAAAATGTATGATGGAGGAGACTCATCGACGACCTCCGACACTAAACTCTCCTCCTCTTGCATGTTTCCTCTGTCCATAGCGTGACCTAACAGCGTCGTTTCTAAGTCACCAATTTAGTGCTACTTGGTCCCAAAGGAATTTCCCATTGGGAATCTACTAGCACTAAGTTGCTAACTGGTTAGCAAGATGCTTTCGAGACAATGGCCACAATCTAAATTGCTTGCGAACCTTCTGCCATAATAATCCCTCCCCCTTGATAAACGACCAATCACATTCACTTTATTCACTCGTGTAAAGTCGTGCACCACTCGGGAGAATTAGGAAATGCAACGGTTGGAACAGCCACTTCCCTACGACTTTAACAATAAAGGTGACGTAAATCAGGGTATTAGCTGATATTTACTAATTTTTTAGGCTCTTTCTCCAAATTTCATTTTTAATTGATTAAAAAAAGAACACCTGTAAATACTATTAATCTTTGCCCCTTTAAAGAATGCTTCTGGCATACTATGGTATTTTGTTTTTTCCTACTGTTGGTTCCAATGTGAGCCTAATTCAAAATCGTTTTTGCAGCGCATAAACTGATTCCTATTTTCTTTTGCTTTTCTGATTATTTGAAGCAAACATTGAAATGCTGGGCTGTGTACCTCTTGAAGCAGGTTTGTTTATTACCTGCACACTGTCAGAGAAGTTTGTTGTTTCTTCTCGGTCTCTTACGTCAATAAACACTCACAGCGCTGCAGGCAGAATCGGGGTGTGTTGATGTTAGCTAGCAGCTGATGCAGGGTCAGCTCTTTTTTTCCACTTTAACAACAGTCCTCTGTTTTATTGTTGGTTATCCAAATAATTTCCCTGTGATTTTTGCAAATATAGCTAAGAACTGATGTCCTGGTGCTGGATAAAAGCCCGACAGATTTGATTTCACAGGTGGACCAATATTTCTGTTTCCATAGGGTTCTAATTTATTATGAGAGTGAAGCTTAATAGAAGTCATTCCAAAAAACGGAAATTAAAAACAATCCACTGGACTTTGAAGATGTTTCGCTTCCCATTCAGGAAGCTTTTTCAATTAAAAATGTTAGGAATAGCACTGACTTCCAGGTTTTATAAAGTAGCCCAACAAAACCTTGTCTTTGTTTTGAAAACATGCAAATTAAAACGGACAGATGGGTCCACCCCTTTGGAATGGTTGTCGTTTGGCTTCTTTGTTAAAGGTGGATTATACTTCTGCAACCGCACACATTAAATGTCGCTTGAGTCTGGTCGCGCACCAGTTTTGCTGGTATGCTTCTTCACCGTCGCTCTGGAATTTGTAGGGACGCACCGCAGTTTCCCTCCAAAGCACAAGGGGGAGCCTATTCGAGAACTTGCTAGAACTTCATCGGATGGTCACGAAAACTTCTTTAGCGGCGCTGGCGGGAGAGTTTATCTTTCAAAACAACAATGGCGTGTCTGGAAGATATCACGGTCACAGAGATTGTTGTTGTTCCTTGGTTTTTAAAAATGGCGTGACCCGGAACCACATCGAGAAGGACAATCACACAGACAGCCAGAAAGGCATATCAAGGACCAATCATGGCTGCTTTTTGTCTGCGCACTTCCTCTTGGGGTCTGCAGGGGTTTGTGACCGTAGTCAGGATTTTTTTGAAATGTTTTTTTTTTTCAATTGGGTCCTCACAAATCAGATCTATTTTATTTTACTACCTAAGAAAATATTTTCATCTACCCCTTGCAATGCACTGGCGGACCACTAGGGGTATGTGTACCCCCCAGTTGGGAATCACGGCTTTAAGCGGTGACTTCACAGGGTTGGTTCTCCCTGTAGCTTCCAGCTGAAAACCTTGGATATACCAGCTATGCCTAAAAACCGTAAAACAACAAACACTTTGGTATGATGGAAGACAAAGCTGTAAACATGGCAAAGCAGCAGGTTTTAAAAATGGCGTGCCCCGGCACCAAATCGAGAAGGACAATCACACAGACAGCCTGAAAGGCATATCAAGGACCAATCATAGCTGCTTTTTGTCTGCGCACTTCCTCTTGAGGTCTTCGTGGGTTTGCGACCGTAGTCAGGATTTTTTTGAGGTGCGCGATGATGGTTGCAGAGCCTCTACGTGGGGGCCGTGGGCGTGCACAGAGACAGATTTGACCGTTGCAGAGGCTATGCGTCAGAAGCATAAATTGGCCTTTAGCCTGCAATGCTCCACACCTGCCTATGTCTGAATTGGGGTCGTTAAAGGGAATTGTTGGCCTGGCTGAATAGGCTTGGTCCTCCGCTCTCCTGTACAAGGGCTGGGGCTGCAATTATACTGGGAAGGGATCGACTCAATTGCTACGTTGTAGGTTTTTGAAAGCTGAAACCTGAGTTCACCCCCTCTATTTAAGGTTGTTTTTTCTTTATGGAGGCCTTAGTCTGCGATGTGGGCAACCCGCATTCAAATCCGGCCTGGTCCTTTCCCTCATGTCTCTGCCCCTCTCTCATACCCCCTTTCCTGTCAGCCTACTGTCCATAAAACTAGCCACCAGTGCCGTAAAAACTCAAAAACAACAAAAAAAGACTCAAAAACAACAAAAAAAACCTCCAAAAAAGTCCTGAAATTGACTTGCCTTATGTTGTAGGAACCCTGCTACTCCATCACCAACAGGAGCAAAGTCAAAGGAGGAGGTTATCTCCATGCTGGATGGGAGTAAAACTGTTTGACGGAAACTCAATAATTTAATCTCAGTAAATGTCCAGCAAAAAGACAGAGAGAGTCTCCATCATTTCTGAAAGTTAAAGAAATGCTTTATAAAGAACTTTTGAGGGATTTTGAAGCACGAAACAAAATCACTGCCTTTTCTTCACACAGCTAGTTCTTTTCCCCTTTCTCTGACTTTCACACCTGTTTCACAACCCTGCAAACGGTTTCTGTTCAGCTAAACCAGTTCCGTTTCCGTTAAAGAAGGGAAATGTTCTGGTTTTTCTTATGTACAGCCGTGTTCTTCCACACAGCTGAGGCACGTGATCTGGTCATAAGCGTGATTCTAGAGAGGCTGAGGAGGTAAAGCAGCCATTTGATTCAGGCTACCATCACACTGCAGGTTTTGATGTTTTTGGATGGAATCTGATTTGTTAACTTAATCTGAAAGGTTCTCAACCGCAATGGGACCCACATGTGAAGAACTGTAGACATCAATAAGTTGTGGACAGTATTTGGATATTACAGTGCTTTTTTTTGTGCTGTGCTGCAGACAAATCTGTATGTATGAGTAATCAGAGCCTGAATGAAACGCGACTCGACTGTTCAGATTGCAAACACTTTAAGAACTGATATGCTTCCGATTTTTTAGCACATATTCAGGCGGTACATATGGGATATTTTTGAAGGAGAATTATTGAATTGTTCTGACTGCCGTGAAATAGGTCAGAAAGAGTCGCATTTGCCTGCAATGTCAACTTAGCATAAGGTCATAGGGAAATCGTATTTAAATGTCAAATAATTCTTGCTTAAACATATATATAAATGTACACTTTATCAGACCAATATCGTTCCAAAATTTAGAAAACTTCCTGTCTTAAAATCTGTGGGTTTTTTTTTTTTTCATTATCTTATTGAGGCCAGTTAGTTATACGTCAGCTTGTACACCTAAATTCGGCCAATCGTATATCAACGGTCATCTTGATTCATATGTCGCAGCTAATATACACAACGATTCAAATAAGAACCAAACCAAGCTTCTGCCGCCCTGGCGTCCTCTTCCACAACATC